AAAAAAAAAAAAAAAAAAAAAAAAAACGCCCACGGTGATATTGGTCATGCTGTAGTTAGATAACTGGAGGCTCTCCAATAAAGGGTAGCTATCGAGGTCGGTGCTAGATAAATGTGTTATCTGCAAATAGAGGTGAATTATTGAAATATTATGAGGAGGTAAAGGTGTACCGGTATTTTGTACAGTAATGAAAGGTTAAACTTCCACCGGACGAACTTTGAGCTATTATTCAAGGCTGTTTCTTGTTTAATTAATTTTTACAACAATTTATTTTGAAAAGGTAATTTAGTAAGCACTGCAAGATTGCGTACCTTGTTGGTGACAAAATACCACTGCTTAATAGTTTCTGGCACATTCTGAGGAATACGAGTCTAGTCATTAAACAAGTAAAGTCATTGCTACAATTAATCTTTTGGTCGTACTTTTTGAGAATTGATACAAACAGTCTAAGTATGGTTTCAGATTAGAAAATAGACAGATATTTGATACCAAAACATACAACATGGCTTTTTAGTCTGTCTTTTACTTTTACTATGTAAAAAGTTTTAAATTAAAATTAGGCACGTGCGCTGCCCTTCAACTTTATTGGTGAGGAACACTTAACGGTTTAAGGCACCATACCTCGTGACTGTCCGAGGTGGCAGTCATGATGGCAAGATGGGTTGTGTATACTCTTTAAAAAGGGAATATGACAATTTTTTTATTTTGTGAATATTACATAGAACCATGAAATAAATTGAGGAAAAATAGTAGTGCTTCAAAGAATATATAATATAATAAATAATAACAGCCACCAATTTTATTTCCATGCACTGGTCGTCGCACGTATTCCGTTTTCCATGCCAGACCAGGTATCCATGCTAATTGAAAGCCAAAGTTCTTATAAATTGTTTTGAAGCAGTTTTTTATGAAAGTGTCAAGCAAGGAAACTATTCAAACCAGCTTCTTCCTGTTGCCATGTCATCAGCAAACAAAATCTTCTGGAAACAGGATGTCCCATGTCAAGTTCTGCAAATATGGTGGTTGCACACATTTCACAAATTCCGGAAGAAGCAGCAGATAAGGCTTTAGATCAACCAGCTCACGCAACCATCTAAGGCGACAATCGCAGTTCCACGGGTTAGACGATATGAAGAGCGAAGTCAAATTCTTGAAGGGTGGATTGTAGTAAACCTGAGCAGTTAATATATAGATTTCTTAAACATTTTGTGAAACGGAAATGATATGAGAGTAAAATAACCCACTGCTCTTTTTGATGGGTAATAGCAACCGAATAAAAATATGACAGGTAAATGTTTAATACTCTAAAAGATAGCACATTGTCACAAAAGCTCTCTATCAGTCACTCATTCCATTTAATATCTGCTTTACATTAGTTAATCCAACAATCGGACTTTATCGTAAATTAAATGCCGGGATTTAAAAAAAAATGTTAAAGCTGACTTAAAATCTGGGATTTAAATTTGGTTTCTCAAGGTGACCAACAATTCTTTCTAAAATGAAACTCATGACACAATTACCGTATTTGCAATTTAAATGAACCGTTAACTTACCTCATACTGTAGAGTTTCAAGACTGTTCGAGTCCAGGTCAATGGTTGCAAGATTTCTCAAAGGGACAAAGGCATTGTCCGATATCATAATCATTTTATTCCCATACAAGGAAATTGACTCGAGGCTGGCAAGTCCGTCGAACACTTAAATGCGTGAGATGGTTATTAGAGAGACCCAAAGTTTTCAGGTTTATCAGACTTGAAAATACCCCAGTGTCTATTGCTGATATTTCATTCGAGGACAACTCGAGTTCTCCAAGGCGTGAAATTCCTACAAAGTCGCTGGAATAGAGACGACCAATATTATTTGTTGAAAGCTCAAGGGTTTGTAGGGCTTCCGGCAAACCACTTGGAATTCGAGTCAACTTATCCGATTTAAGTTCCAAACTGGTTAGAGTAATCGCGTCTTTGAACACGCCATACGGAAGCCCAGCACTGGTGAGCGGATTAGAAGATATTTGTAACACTGACAGGAGCGTCTGTTTTGCAAAAAAGCCTACAGGGATATAGGTCATATTGTTGTTAGATAACTGGAGGGTCTCCATTAAAGGGTATCTGTCAAGGTCGGTGCTAGATAAGTGTGTTATCTGCAAATAGAGGTGAATTATTGAAATATTATGTACAGGTATAGGTGTATTCCGTGCAATAATGATAGGTTAAACTTCCACCGGACGAACTTTGAGCTAGTATTCACAACCGTGTCTTGTTTAATTCATTTTTCAACAATTCATTTTGAATAGCTAATTTAGAGCACTGCAAGTTTACGTACCTTATTGGTGACAAAATGCCACTGCTTAATAGTTTCTGGCACATTCTGAGGAATACGAGTATAGTCATTAAACGATAGATCAATAATCTGTAGATACTTCAGCGGATCAAATACCCCCTGGCTCACTTTGGTATCAGAAAGGTGGTTTCCTTGAAGCCAAACGCCCTGCAAATAATTCAACAGAAGTCGAGATTTTTTTTTGCTGTGTCTATCCCACTATAATCAAATTGAAATGGAAAACAGGGAATATTCACTGTGTTGGGGTGGCTGTTACCAATAATCATGCAATTGAATAACCAAATATGTTGCGAAGTAGGCTAGGTCTACAATTTGCCATATATTACTTAATTTTTGACATTAGAATACAGAAAATATTATACAGTTTATATGAATTTCATTTCTTGGACAGATTATGAATTTAATCAAAAAAGCAATATTAATCATGCCGTTTAACTACCTGTAGATAGAGCATCTTGTCGAACGCCCCTGTTGGTATTTGTCCCATTTCATTAAAAGACAGATCAAGTATAACGGTATCCTCTGGAACCTCCCCCACTGGAAAAGGCCCGCGTCTGCGGACAGTGCAGTTCATATACGTTCCATTGAAAACTTTAGCGTCGATGCTGGCACCCCAAACACAAACACACTCGTAAGGACAGACTGGCGACCACGGGGTAGGTGTCTGGCAGTCGGTTTCTGTTAAAAGAACCAGCCCTACAACTAATGCTGACACAAATAAAGATCGGAGAATCATTTTGCCAGACTGTTTTCAACGTCGAAACCGAAATGTTGCTTTAGGTATCTTTGCAAATCTAGGTTATCTTGCTTCCACAAATGACTGTCGAACTTCAGTGCATCCGATTAGATAAACAAATCGAATTTGACCTTGATCATGTTTATGAAAACCTCGCCATTTCATGGACTGCTGTTAATTAATAGAGAGCGCACTTAGTTACCAAAGATGCTTTGCGCAATAATTACAAGACAGGCTTTTTACTCGCTTTATCTTTGAATCCACATAGACCTATCATTCAAAGTACTTTAACCACGAGGAGATTCACGAAGTTTGGAATAATAATTCTTTGAACAATGGTGCTAGCAATGGTCATTTCCTTAAATCACCCCAAAAATTACGTATATTATATTTAAACAAATAATGCGAGTCACCTTTTGAAATCCTTTAAGATGTACTACATTGAAACATGTTATTATTTTAACAATTAATCTTTTTGGTTGTACATTTTGAGAATTGATACAATCAGTTAACCTATGGTATTATATTAGAAAATAGAAAGTTATTTGATACCAAAAACTTGGCATTATTATTGTCGAATTTACATACAAAAAATAGGCATATGCACTGCCCTTCAAACTTATTGGTGAGGGACAAATAGCAGTTCAGTTTCAGGCATCATACCTCGTATCTATATGCAGTTGCAGTCACCAAGGGGTGGTAAGTAAATAGTTTTCTTATAGTCGCAAGATATGGGTTGTGAAATGCTATTTAAACAGGGATTTTGATTAAAATGTTCTATCCTTGTGGATATGAGTAATAATATAATTAAATATCACATGGAACAATGAGAATAAATTGAGGAAAAATAGTAGTACTTCAAAGAATAAATAAATAACAGCCACCAATTTTATTTCCATGCACTGTTCGTCGCACGTATTCTGTTTTCCACGCCAGACCAGGTGTCCATGCTAATTGAAAGCCAAAGTTCTTATAGATTGTTTTGAAGCAGTTTTTTATAAAACAGTCAAGCAAGGAAACTATTCAAATCAGCTTCTTCCTGTTTCCATGTCATTAGCAAACAAAATCTTCTGGAAACAGGATGTCCCATGTCAAGTTCTGCAAATATGGTGGTTGCACACATTTCACAAATTCCGGAAGAAGCAGCAAATAAGGCTTTAGATCAACCAGCTCACGCAACCATCTAAGGCGGCAATCGCAGTTCCACGGGTTAGACGATATGAACAGCGAAGTCAAATTCTTGAAGGGTGGATTGTAGTAAACCTGAGCAATTAAATTTTAGATTTCTTAAACATTTTGTGAAACGGAAATTGGATGAAAGTAAAATAACCCACTGCTCTTTTTGATGGGTAATAGCAACCAAATAAAAAATATGACAGGTAAATGTTTAACACTCTAAAAGATAACGCATTGTCATAATGACTCTCTATCAGTCACCCATTTCATTTAATACGTCTGCTTTACATTAGTTAATAAGATTTTATCGTAAATTAAATGTCGGGATTAGAAAAATGTTAAAGGTGACCTGTTAAAGAAGTGGGATCTAAATTCGGTTTCTTAAGGTGACCTACAATTCTTTCTAAAATGAAACTCATGACACAATTACCATATTTGCAATTTAAATGAACCGTTAACTTACCTCATACTGTAGAGTTTCAAGACTGTTCGAGTCCAAGTCAATGGTTGCAAGATTTCTCAAAGGGACAAAGGCATTGTCCGATATCATAATCACTTTATTTCCATACAAGGAAATTGACTCGAGGCTGGCAAGTCCGTCGAACATTCCGTCATTTAAATGCGTGAGATGGTTATTAGAGAGACCCAAATCTTTCAGGTTTATCAGACTTGAAAATACCCCAGTGTCTATTGCTGATATTTCATTCGAGGACAACTCGAGCCCCCCAAGACTGGCAAGCCCGTCGAACATTCCGTCAGTTAAATGCGTAAGATGGTTATTAGAGAGACCCAAAGTTTTCAGGTTTATCAGACTTGAAAATACCCTAGTGCCTATTGTTGATATTTCATTTGAGGACAACTCAAGGTCTCCAAGGCGTGAAATTCCTACAAAGTCGCTGGAATAGAGACGGCCAATATTATTTGTTGAAAGATCAAGTGTTTGCAGGTTTTCCGGCAAACCACTTGGAATTCGAGTCAACTTATCCGATTTAAGTTCCAAACTGCTAAGACTTATCGCGTCTTTGAACACGCCATGCGGAGTTCCAGCACTGGTGAGCGGATTTGAAGAGATTTGTAACACTGACAGAAGCTTCTGTTTTGCAAAAAAGCCTACAGGGATATAGGTCATGTTGTTGTTAGATAACTGGAGGGTCTCCAATAAAGGGTATCTGTCGAGGTCGGTGCTAGATAAATGTGTTATCTGCAAATAGAGGTGAATTATCGAAATATTATGTATAGGTATAGGTGTATTCCGTGCCGTATTGATAGATTAAACTTCCCCTGGACGAACTTTGAGCTAGTATTCACAACCGTTTTTCATTTGATTCATTTTTACAACAATTTATTTTGAATGGCTAATTTAGAGCACTGAAAGTTTGTGTACCTTATTGGTGACAAAATACCACCGCCTAATAGTTTCTGCCACATTCTGAGGAATACGAGTATAGTCATTAAACGATAGATCAATAATCTGTAGATACTTCAGCGGGTCAAATACCCCCTGGCTCACTTTGGTATCAGAAAGGTGGTTTCCTTCAAGCCAAACGCCCTGCAAATAATTCAACAGAAGTCGAGATTTTTTTTTTTTTTTTTTTTTTTTTTTGCTGTGTCTATCCCACTATAATCAAATCGAAATGGAAAACAGGGAACATTCACTGTGTTGGGGTGGCTGTTCCCAATAAGCATACGATTGTTGCAAAGTAGGCTAGGTCTGCGACTTGGCATATATTACTTAATTTTTGACATTAGAATACAGAAAATATTATACAGTTTATATGAATGTCATTTGTTGGACAGATTATGAATTTAATCAAAAAAGCAATATTAATCATGCCGTTAACTACCTGTAGATGGAGTATCTTGTCAAACGCCCCTGCTGGTATTTCTCCCATTTCATTAAAAGACAGATCAAGTATAACGGTATCCTCTGGAACCTCCCCCACTGGAAACGGCCCACGTCTGCGGAACGTGCAGTTCATATACGTTCCATTGAAAACTTTGGCGTCGATGCTGGCACCCCAAAAACAAACACATTCGTAAGGGCAGACTGGCGACCACGGGGTAGGTTTCTGGCATTCGGTACCTGTTAAAAGAACCAGCCCTACAACTAATGCTGACACAAATAAAGATCGGAGAATCATTTTGCCAGACTGTTTTCAACGTCGAAACCGACCTATTGCTTTAGGTATCTTTGCAAATCTAGGTTATCTTGCTTCCACAAATGACTGTCGAACTTTAGTGCATCCGATTAGATAAACAGATCGAATTTGACCTTGGTTTATGTTTATGAAAACCTCAACATTTCATGGACTGATGTTAATTAATAGAGAGCGCACTTAGTTACCAAAGATGCTTTGCGCAATAACTTCAATACAGGCTTTTAATCGTTTTATCTTTGAAGCCATATACATGTAGATCTATCATTCAAAGTACTTTAACCACGCGGAGACTCATGATATTTCGAATTATAATGCTTTGAACAATGGTGCAAGCAAAATGTCATTTCCTTAACTCACCCCAAAAATTATGTATATTACATTTAAAAAAATAATTTGAGTCACCCTTTGAAATGCTTTAAGATGTATTACATTTAAACATGTTATTATTTTGACAATTAATCTTTTGGTCGTACTTTTTTTTTGAGAATTTATACAATCAGTTAACCTGTGGTATTATATTATTTGATACATTATTATTGTCGAATTTATATACAAAAAATTCTAATTAAAAAAAGGCATATGCACTGCCCTTCAAACTTATTGGTGAGGGACCCTTGGCAGTTCAGTTTCAGGCATCATACCTCGTATCTATCTGAAGTTGCAATCACCAAGGGGTGTAGTAAAAAGATAGCGTTCTTATGTTCGCAAGAGATGGGTTGTGCAATGCTAATTAAACAGGGACTTTGATTAAAATGTTCTATCCTTGTGGATATGAATATAATAATATTATTAAATACTAAATGGAACGATGAGAATAAATTGAGGAAAATAGTAGTGCTTCAAGGAATAAATTAAATAATAACAGCCACCAATTTTATTTTCATCCACTGTTCGTCGCACGTATTCTGTTTTCCATGCCAGACCAGGTATCCATGCTAATTGAAAGCCTAAGTTCTTATATATTGTTTTAAATCGCCTTTTTATAAACAGAGGCCAGTAAGGAAAATGCCCAAACCAGTTTCTCCTCTTTTGCCATGTCATTTGCAAACAAAATCTTCTGGAAACAAGACGTCCCATGACAAGTTCTGCAGATATGGCGGCTGCACACATTTCACTAATTCCGGAATGAACAGCAGGTAAGGCTTCAGATCAACCAGCGCACGCAACCATCTGAGGCGGCAATCGCAGTTCCAAGGGTTAGACAATATGAACAGCGAAGTCAAATTCTTGAAGGGTGGGTTATAATAAACCTAAACATTAAAATGACATATTTATTTGACATTTGAAAACGAAACGAAACAATAATTCACTGCTCTCTAACATTTAACAGCAACAGAAAAATCGGGCGACAGGTAAACGTTTTGCCTTTTTAAAAGAAAGTGCATATATCACAACGGTTGCCTTTCAGTCATTACAATTGTTAATCCATAAACCACATACATATACACATTTGCCAATCGCAAATTGCACGTCTGGATTTAAAACAAGATCTAAACTGAACTAAACCTTAAGCTTTGACTTTATTTCGAGGATCGGTCCAGTTTGTCCTTGAATTGGAGCCGATAGTAAAATCACAAAATTACCATGTGGAAATTTTAACGAACAGTTAACTTACCTCATACTGTAATGTTTTAAGGTTGTTAGAGCCTAAGTCAATGGTTGCAAGGTTCTTCAAAGGAACGAAAACATTGTCGGATATTACTTCAATGTTGTTCCCATTCAAGAATATTGACTCGAGGTTGATAAGTCCATCAAACATTCCGTCACTTAAATAACGCAGATGGTTATCAGCGAGGCCCAAACTTTTCAGATTTATCAGACTTGAAAATACCCTAGTGTCTATTGCTGATATTTCATTAGTGGACAACTCGAGCCATTCAAGTCGTGAATGTCCTGCAAAGTCCCCAGGATAGAGACGGTAAATGTTATTTTTTGACAGATCAAGGGTTTGTAGGGTTTCCGGAAAACCACTTGGAATTCTAGTTAACTTATCTGATATAAGTTCCAAAGTGGTTAGACTAATAGCATCTTTGAACACGCCATTTGGAATCCCCATGCTAGAGAGCGGGTTAGAAGAAATGTGTAGCACTGACAAGACTGTTTGTTTAGCAAAAAAGCTGACCGGAATATGTGTGATGTTGTTGTTAGATAACTGGAGGGTTTCCAGTAAAGGGTATCTGTCGAGGTCGGTGCTGGATAAATGTTCTATCTGCAAGAAGAGATCGAGATCGGTCACACGAATGAAATATAAAGGTATAGGTATATTTCGTACATTAATGATCCGTATACCTTCCTCTGGACGAACTTTGAGCTTAAATTGTAATCGTAACTTGTATGATTAATACATTTTTTACTAAGTCTCAAATATCAATTTACTATGAAAATTATTTTGGAAATTTTAACAAGAATACGTACCTTATTGGTGTCAAAATTACACCGCTTGATAGTTTCTGGTAAATCATGAGGAATTCCAGTAAAGTTATTAAGCGATAGATCAATTATATCTAAATGCGTCAGCGGATCAAATACCCCTTGGCTCACTTTGGTCTCGGATAGCTGGTTTCCTAATAACCAAACACCCTGAAAATAATTCAGTAGAAACCAAAAATAAAAACACAAAAATAATACTGAATATGGCGGTGTGGTGTTAAACAATAACCGTAAACTAAAAAAAAAACATATATGTTGCAAAGGAAGGTAGAACTAGTGTATAACAGACATAAAAGATCACAAATCGTACCAATAAAACATAAAACTCAATTAAAACAGGAAAAAAAAATTTTGTCACTTTACCTGTAAATGGAGTATCTTGTCAAACGCTCCTGTCGGTATTTCTTCCAAATCGTTAAAAGACAGATCAAGTATAACGGTATCTTCTGGAACCTCGCCCACAGGAAATGGTCCACGTCTACGAAACGAACAGTTCATGTATGTTCCATTATAAACATTCGGATCGAAGCTTGCACCCCAAAAACAAATGCACTCGTAAGGACAGACTGGCGACCAATGGGTAGGATTCTGGCAGTTGATGCCTATTAAAAGAACTAACCCTAGAGCTAGCGTTGAGACAAATAAAGATCGCGGAATCAATTTGACTGTTTGCAACGGCGGGCTGGACGTTCTGCTTTAGATAACTTTGAAAATCTGGGTTATATTGACATTTTGAAACCATGACCCTGTAGACATTAAGCCTATTGTATCTTATCATTGAGATATGTAATAATCGAATCGAATTTGACCTTTTATCGTAAGACTAATGTACAGTAGCCTACGCTTCATCATTCCATGGACTGTTCTAAATAAACAACATACTTAGTTGGCCATATGTACTTTGTACAATTACCTACAGTACAAGGCATTTGTTTACATTTGAAATCCACATAGGTTAAACAATTTAAAAAACTAAATGTAATGTTATATACGATGTTTAAAATAAGACACCCTTTTACAATGCTCCTTTATGATAATTTTAAATTGAATTCACCTCGAGACCTAATGTACATTACTAAGTAAAGAATCCAATTGCAACAGTCATAATTTTATTTCTATTCACTGTGCGTTTTATTTTCCTGTTTTTCATGCCGGACCAGGTATCCATGCTAATTGAAAACCTACGCTCTTATGGATTGTTTTGAAGCGCTCTGTTAAAGGATGTGTCCATTAAGGAAAATATTCAAACAAGCTTCTTTTGTGTTGCCATCAGTTTAGCAAACAAAATCTTCTGGAAACAAGACGTCCCATGTCAAGTTCTGCAAATATGGCGGCTGCAGACATTTCACCAATTCCGGAAGAAACAGCAGATAAGGCTTCAGGTCAACCAGCGCACGCAACCATCTGAGGCGGCAATCGCAGTTCCACGGGTTAGACGATATGAACAGAGAAGTCAAATTCTTGAAGGGTGGATTGTACAAAACCTGAATAGTAGATTTAAGCATTGTTTAAAAATTTGGTCAAATGTTGTGCGGGTGAGATAATTAACTCATTGTCCTTTGTTTTGTTTTGTTTTGTTTTTTTTTTTTGGGGGGGGGGGGGGAAATCTACAGAATGCATGGGTTCATGGCTTTCAATAATGAATAAATAAATGATAATAAAATGGCAATGCTAACACAATTGCTGTCTGGGTCACGTATAGACAATTTTATTAAGTGATTTTTACAGGACATTTCTTGGGGAAGACTTGAAAAAGGTTAAAATCTTTATCAAATATTGCAGGTGCTGACTAGGTCAAAAATTAATGAAAACAAAACTTAAACTGTAATTATGAATCTTTTTTAAAACTGGGACCGTTAACGGCATTGTACACGTATCATCAACTAACCTCATACTGTAATGTTTCAAGGCTGTTGGATTCCAAGTCCACGGAGGCAAGGTTTCGCAAAGGGACAAAAATATTTTCAGACATCGTTTTCAGATTATTCCCGAAGAGGTTCAATATCTCTAGGTTGACAAGCCCATTGAAAGTCCCTTCACTCAAATGCGTCAGGTGGTTTTCAGAAAGAGTCAAAGTCCTTAGGTTTACCAGATCTGAAAGTGCCCCATTTTCTATCACGGATATTTTGTTCGAGTACAAGTCGAGAGTTTCAAGACGTGAAAGTCCTATAAAGTCCCAGGGATAGAGACGGTCAATATCATTGGTTGAAAGGTCCAAGATTTGCAAGGTTCCTGGCAAACCACTTGGAATTTGGGTCAACATATCTGATTTTAGTTCTAAAGTAGTTAGTCTAATCGCATCTTTAAATAATCCATGCGGTATCCCAGCATTTGTGAGCAGATTTTCGGTTATTTGTAATACTGAGAGAACTGTCTGTTTAGCGAAAAAGCCGACGGGAATATATGTGATGTTGTTGTCAGCTAACTGGAGCATTTTCAGACTAGGGTACCTCTCGAGGTCGGTGTTAGATAAGTGGCTTATCTGTAAATTAAGATGAATTGTTGAAATATTATGCAGTGGTCAATGTTTAATTCGCACAGTAATGACATATCTTCCGCGAGCTGGGAAAAACATATTTCATACGATATACAGTTTAGAACACTACAAATGTGAATGACCATGATTTTAAAACTATATTGGAAAGCATAACAAGAAAACCTACCTTATTGCTGATAAAATACCAATGTTTGATAGTTTCTGGCAAACTCTGGGGAATCCGAGTAAAGTTGTTAAATGATAGGTCAACAATGTCTAAATACTTTAGTGGATCAAATACCCCTTGGCTCACTGAGGTCTCTGACAGTTGGTTACCCTGAAGCCATATGCCCTGAAAATGGTCGTACAGCCATCAAAATTATATTTCTAGGTTTATTTTTCACTTATCACATCCAAATAAAAAACAGCAAACTTCTACTTGGCCCAGTCTGGTTTGGCCGAGTATAGTTTTTATGTTGTGCTAAGAAGCCTACATATATGTCATGTATCGCAACAACCATTTACAGAACACAAAACATCCTAAACATTTTGGTAACAAATCTTATTCAATTCATATGGATGTCACTTTCCATACAGAAGATGAGTTTAGTTTGAATAACAATGCAAAATGCGTCATTTAAATACCTGCAGGTACAGTATCTTGTCGAACGCTCCTGGCGGTATTTCTTTCATTTCATTGAAAGACAGGTCAAGTATCATCGTGTCCTCTGGAACCTCGCCCACGGGAAACGGCCCGTGGCGAATAGACGTACAATTCATGTACGTGCCATTTAGGACTTTGCCATTAAAGCTAAAACCCCAAAAACAGACACATTCGAATGGACAGACTGGTTGCCACTGGGTAGGATTTTGGCAGTTGGTGCCCATTAAAAGGCCCAATTCTACAGCTACAGCTAGAGCTAGTGTTGAGATAAGTAAAGATCGCATAAACATCTTGCCTGAATGTTTGTAACGACGACCTATATGTGCTGCTTTAGTGGACTGGCAATCTGTGTTATCTTGGCACAATGAAACTGGACTTTGACCTTATCGGCATAATGGACCTTTACACTGTTAATTCTAACGGTTGAATAGTAAATTCGATTAAGTAACTGATTTTTGTGATAGGATTTACAAAAGCCTCATCACCATTGAAATTTTTTTTATCAGGAGGTTTTAAATTCATAATTGGACTATTGTGAAAAACAACAGAGTAATATTGTACAATCCGTACGTATAACACAGGAAATATGTTTTAAATTTCAATTTCGTAGAATTTTATTGAAGAATACGTGTTTTGACGTTAAAAGGATATATCAAAATACAGTTATTCTTTCTAAGGGACAGCAGCTTGAAACATCGCAGGCATTTGTACACACGCATCTCTAAAAAATTAGAGAAAGCCTAGTTCAGAAAAAAATCTTGATTTGATCTAGAATTGAAGTCTGAAAATTATAATAGGGTAACAGTTGAGTGCAGTTCTTACTTTCCGGTATATCCATAATAACTTAATGCATGCGAAATAAAATGTGTAAAAAATTATATTGTTTAACGTAAGTTTATATCCCAAATAAGGACCTAACATTGTAAACAGTACAAGTAGGATGAGGAGAAGTAGACGCAGTAGTAGTAGTAGTAGTAGTACTTCCTGCTGTTGTAGTAATTAAAGTAGTAGTAGTAGGCCTACGTGTTGTTTTTGTTGTAATTAAAATTGAAGACCAATGGGCTTGCTGTATAAAACGTACGTTGTGCTGTGATTCACTGAGAATATAGGCACATGCTGTTCTGGTGTGTAGTTCTGATGTGTGGATTGTCCCCGTATGAATGTCCAGTGAGTCCAGCAGCTGTATTAAAATCTTTGGGTGCCCCTTATGCCATTCAAGCAGAATGTGACAACAGGAACTGTTGGAACAGATCGTTACATAACATTGGGTCATATGAGCACAGTAAAAGCAATGATCTATATAGAGCTCATTGGTAAAAGCCACGACAGTAAGACTAATCACTCATAAGCTTAGGGCCAACAAGTAACACACTTCTCTCCATACTTTTAGGTAACCAGTTACAATGTTGACGGTGTAACAGGAATGGAAGTCCTAGGGATGGAAGTTCGGGCTCCCATATGATTAGTACAGGTTAGGGTTAGTTGACGCATTGGGATAAGTATGTGGGACGAATGTCATCAGTACAAAGTAATGGAAGACGGACTACGGTTCCTATCGGACTTCCATTCCTGTTACACCTGTCACCCCAGGAAGCTATTGGTATCAGTGACTAATTACATGTACAATGCAGTATTCATCTTGCTGATTCAACACGAAAAGTCTCCTGGAAATAACAGGTCCCATGTAGTACCATTTAGGTTGATTGGTAAGGAACATTTCACTAATTCAGTTAAACCAACCAACGTGGGTCGCATGTCCATTAAAGCTCGTAACCATCTGAGGTGGCAGTCACAATTCCATGGGTTGTCGTAAATAAAAAGGGTTGTTAAGTTCGCCAGAGATGGGTTATACAAAACCTACAATAAAGGAATCTTGTTTTAACGTCAACTGAATACAAATATACAGGAAATTTCTAATATATGGTTTAATGCAATGACTACAAGATGTTAAGAATTTTGATGTTTTAATAAGAAGCTGTCTGTAGCAAGGAATTACTGCATTATTTCTTAAGATCTTACAAATATTATATAACTACAATGATAACCACACTGCAGAGAGATATGGCTTTACATATGGATACGAAGCTTAACTTGAAGCTAGCTCTTACCTTGTATTGCAGTGATTGTAGTTGGTTGTGAACCAGATCGATAGTGTTAACACTAATTAAAGGACCAAATACATTATCTGCCATAGATATGATGCGGTTGCTTGACAAATCCAAATCCCTAAGATTCTTCAAACCAGAAAACACACCTTCTTGTAGTATATTTAGTTTGTTGTTTATCAGGTTAAGCCGTAGAAGACTGTCCATTCCGTCAAAGGTCCCAGGGTCTATCAGTTCTATCTGGTTCGAGTTCAATAGCAGATTCGCAAGTTTTGGAAGATTACGGAATTCCCGTGCAAAAAGGCGGCGTATAGAGTTATAGCCGAGATCGAGGTTTGTTATCGACTGCGGTAAACCCCTTGGAATACTAGTTAGGGAACCGGATCTAAGGTCCAAAAATTGAAGTCTTCTTAATCCTTCAAACACACCTGGTGGAATTCCAGTGTCATTGAGGGGGTTGTAAGATATTCTCAAATCGACCAAGAATGATGAATAGTTAAACAGCCCGAGAGGCAAATATGAAATGTTATTAATGGACATCTCCAAGAAAGTCAAATCTGGGTATCCTTGGAGGTCCTCTGACAACACTCGGTCAACCTGTTAATCAGAAATTAACACTGATATACCAATATCAGTGTTGGTCGAGTTTTTCTCTTATTTGTTATGTAAAGAATAAAATGTTTATCAATCGTGCAATTCATAAAAAATCACAAGACAAGAAAATTATATAATTTGAACGCAACACGCTACGTTTTTAGGAGGGTTTGAAATGCACTTTTAGTGGCTCGCCTACATGTATGTGGCTGTTATAATAATAATTTAAAAAAACATACGTATAGTACCCCCTATAGAACCTATTTAACGTTGCATAAGAAATGTGTGGGACCTTTCTATTAAATCACACATAAATTAACTGTATAACAATAGAACTTAATTGCATTATTTACCTTGTTTCTTTGAACAAGTAGGCGTGTCAACCTTGATGGAAGTATGCGTGGAATGGCTGTGAATTCGTTGAAAGACAAATCAACAGTCTCTATCGCAGTAAGCGGTTTAAACACATCTGGCGGTACATTTGAGCCCGACAACTTATTGCTCTGGAGCCAAACACCCTAAATAATATAATTACAAAAAATCACTGGAAATTATCCCAGTAATATACATTATAGACCCCTGTGAAGTTGATTCCTGGTTCCTTATTCCTTATTCGGGTACTTATTCAAATGTGAAGTTGGTTACTTATTCCCGGTTCCTTATTCGGTTACTTATTCAACTTTTTTATGTTGTTTTATGATTTTGATGCTAGAATACCTGTTTCATCATACTAGCACCCCCTCTTCATCTAGATGACACCCTAAAATTGTTAAATATACCAATAAAAACACAAAATATAACCCATTACTTATTCAAAAGTCCTGTTACTTTATTTTACTATTCTCGAGACAGAGAATTAATCATGAAACGTCATCCATTGCTAGGCTACTTTGTTCTTTTTGACAGATCATCGCCAGCTGTGTTTGTTTACATCTGGGGTCAAGGTCAGTCAGTAAAATTTTACAATCAGGTATTGAATTGTCCGAATGCGGTGTGCCATATTATTGACCTCATACCGCTTGAGAGATATCATGATTAAAATGTTATTTGTGCAATGCCGTTAAGATGGCATGCACGGGGAAGATTAGNGAACCGGGAATAAGTAACCAACTTCACATTTGAATAAGTAACCGAATAAGGAATAAGGAACCAGGAATCAACTTCACAGGGGTACATTATAGGTTTATCTTGAAAACAACACAATTTTGGACATGGTTGATTTGAAGAAAAGTATGATTTTTAGAGAGATTGGTTTACCTTGAGATTAAGACCATCGAAAGCTCCATTTGGTATACCACCCATGTTATTTAGGGAAAGATCAAGATAGTCTGTGTCCTCCGGTATTTCATTCACAGGAAAAGGTCCCTCTCGCGTGCGAGAACAATTCACTGTGGCTGTATTCAAGGCTGCTTGTCCATAACAATAGCATTTAGGCGGGCATACCGGCAACCAAGGCGTTGTAAATTGTGCCGCAACATAATACAATAGGCAAAATATCAAAATCGGAACGAGCAACAGGACAGTTCTGTCCATGGTTCTAAAATGTTCCGTCAGAACAGTTATAAAATTAGGTTATCTGAATGTTGAATTTACGTTAAGATAGAGAATATTTGTGCAGCACGATTCTGCTTAAAATAGACACTTGAAGAGCATTCACATCGAGAAGAGCCGAGGTCTAGCAAGGCCGAGACCTAAATATGGTGGACCTACATGAAAGGAAAACCGCGTAATCCTTTAATAGTCTCTCAATGACATTCATCGAGAGACTTAGGAATGTCATTGAGAGACTGTTAAAGGATTACGCGGTTTTCCCTTCATGTAGGACCGCCATATTTAGGTCTCGGCCTTGCTAGACGTCGGCTCTTCTCGATGTGAATGCTCCCTTAGTATTTCAACTGTTTTCACATACACCAACATTTTAAGTCACCCACTAGAACTTATGAAAATGTTCATGACATCGAGCAGTGTGTTCATACATAACAGTTCTTCATTATAATTTCAAACACACTGAAATTATTATAAAAAGCTAGTGAAAAAAAAAAGCATGCGGATACCTCCATCTTAATGATTTGCTAGTTAACATGGGGTAAAGATTTTCCTGTAACTTGATATTGAAATCGCAACTTTGATTTCATTCCAAACCGTCAAAAGTCCAACCTAAGTAGGCTTCTCTAACACATTCATTGGAAATGCGACAGTGCATTCACTGTAAATACACACATACATGTACACATATAATTTTGGCAAGCGTAGCACACAATGTACACTGCACTGTAACAAAACTTGTTCCATGAGTTCAAGTAGCGAATAAAAACATCAGGGCATATATCAAATGAGTTTTTAAAAAAGATGAAGATAGATGGCAAAATCCCAAAACATCCTATCTGGTCTCACTTCATTTTCTTGTCCAGCATGATTCTATTCTGTGATGTTCAGTTAGATCAATCTATCGAGGCAAAATTTAGCAGATCCTATCAACTATACAATGCGACATTCCCAGCCATGCTCATTAATCGACTTGTATTACACGTCACGATTTGACTTACGATAAGGATCAGTTGACGCTGTATATTTCCATTACCTGTTGATTTTTAGGACAGGTATCGTAAATAGCTGATGGAAGAAAATTAGGTGTTCGGAACAATACAGGTAGATTTATATAGTTTCAACCGGCAGTTTATATTTTCTCTCGGTTTCCGTGAATACAGTAACGTGGCACAGATAAAGCCATGACATATCAAATGTGTATACGTGTATCTCGTTGAGGTCTCTTATTATTCCTAGCTATTTTGTTGTAGATACCCGCTTTACTAAAAAAAAAAAAAAAAAAAAAAAAAACTGTCGGGTCAAGCCTGCTTTTTGTCAGTGTACTGAATGACTTCTTTTTCATTAAATATATATGTATATATAGCAAACACAGGAGTTGATATTAAAATTGTCATTAATCAAAATGACGAAGTTTAATATTATGATAATGAAAATAAACAAGCTTAAGAGGTATAGTATTCACAATATTGGGTAGCAACATATACAGAGTAGATTGTTCGTAAAATCACTGCAGTTTGTAACTCGCCAAAAGTGTAAGATAGCACGAAAGATGAATAATTTGATTGTAATGTCAGCAATGTTATGTTTATAACAACTTGATATCGCAGCTTAGTATTGCCACTACGTAATGCTTGAGCTTTATGTATATAACAGAAGGAAAATATATTAGGGACCTTTTAATTTGTCGCGCTCTTAACAATCTATAAAGATCAAAGTATAGAAATAAATTGCATTTTACTAGTTTCAAGTGGGTTGCCTGACAAGCAACCAAACCCAACAGCTTTAACACCTAACTCTACATTAAAATGTTTCAGGCTCACTCATTAACACCCCGCATTTAGTTTCCGCAGTCTCTGAGCCCACATTATAAAGAACGCGTCGTGTTGGCATACAAACACAACAGTCTCTTTGAAAATGGCACTGAGATGAGGCTGCCAGCGACCGCAAGTGGCTGAGATTGTTTTAAGTCTGTGCAAAGATATCTGTGAGTCAACGTGATAACCGCGGTGTCGTTACGGTTGATTTCTTGCGCACAATTAAGCCCAGAGGATACAGATCAAATCATCAAGGTAAATGAATACCGAGACATTAGGCTTATTGTAGTCCGTCGCTTGGTAAAAGAATTAGTGTTTATGTTGTGTTTGTCTGGCAGGTGCGTGTGTGTGTGTGTGCTTGTTCGTGAATACTTAGAAGCATATCAGTTTAGAAATGTAACTGAAATACAAGTGGACGGCAACTTATTCGTTTTTCATCATATCTCAATAAAGTTACGCAAATAGTTTTTTAGTACTGTGAATCGAAGCGACGGATTTTGAATATAGTCTCTGTATTCTTCTGACCACAAAGACATCCTCACTGGGGCACAAAATGCCACACCTGCTTGAGGACGAAATGGAATAGAATGACACAATATCTTGCCATTTGCCTTATTTCCATTATTCGTACTGACTAATTGTTTACGGGATAGCAAAGAGTATTCTTCACACCATGTATGTATAAACCTGTAATATACCACCATGATCAAATGTGAATTTTTATATATGTAAAAGAGTCTCACTTATTATACTGACCTATTTCAGTTTGAAGGAGAGCGAGTGGAATATTTGCAGTTTAAAAAGATCAGCAGTCGACATGTTTCAGGGATTGTTGCGCAAGGTACACGAAGGCGGGGATGGAGGCGGGGTGGTTTTGAGTCGATAATTGTAATCCGTTGGGAAAAGAGGGGCTTAAAATTATCTTTGAAAGCAACCCACTGAATCAATGTATGTTCTGTAGGTTTTTGAGCATTTTAAGATATTTGGTTAATTGCCATTTAATGTCATTAAATTTTTAATGCTTAAATAAAATGTATAAGTTTAAGTAAGGTATTGTACCATCCAGCTTCCTTTAGTTGCAAATATCATTGTTATCAGGGGCGGATTCAAGCCGTCTTCTGGGTCTTCCGGAAGACGGTCAGATTTTCAAGTTTACATTGACGGGTATCTAATTTTTTCTGTTGGAAGACGGTCAAAATTGGAGGATGAATCAACAAAGATATTTGGAAGACTGTCAGTAAATAGCTCTGGACCCGCCCCTGGTTATCGCTAAAAATAAATGAACAGCATCTTTAGGTATACTACACAGGCATATACCATTGTATGTGTAGGTAGTTAAAAAGGGCAGCACGGTGCCTGAGCAGCCTGAGGAAGTGGCCAGAATACCAGGGGCTCCGCCGTCACCAGCTCTCAGCCACCTCAACCGTGATGAAATGGAGAAGCTCACAGAAGTGTTCAGAAGGCAAGAAGAAATGGAGAAACTAGAGCAAAAAAATATCAAGTATGTGGAAAAATGAAAAAGAATACAAAGTGTCCCGAAACCCATAAAATATCACTTTATTATTATTCTATATATCACTTACATAATCAACTAAAGAATATTATCTGTCAAATCGTAACTAATTCGTAATGAAAAATTGAATTTAATATTTATTTGGAACACATTTATTTATAATATATACATTTTTGATATAGTTAAATATAGGTATATGCTGTTTTTTTCTCCTGTATGCAGGTAGTAATCAGTAGCATCATTTCTAACTTACCAATGCATGAACGGTTCCCATTAAAATATATTCCAGCAGTAGTAATCGTATTTTACAGGATACAATCCTGACTTCGTTTAAAAAACCTTTAATTATAATTAAAGGTTTTTTAGATGAAGTCAGGATTGTATCCTGTAAAATATCTACTGAGTGAAGCAAGTTAGTTGTATAATGGAATCTGACAGGGGTACCAATAGGTTCTTGGTGCCTCTCAGTTTTGGTTTCTCTAGAGCACCTGTGTACCAAGGAGTTTGAACTTATAAGGCAGAGGTACGTTAATTTCATTGATAACCCTGACATTTTCTCTCTTTCACACACAGTACACTTAAAATAATATGTGAACTACATATCTTGGCTTTCCGCGTCCCAAATATGCCATGGAATATAACAATGATTTCAGTGTGCATCGTAAGGCTCACCAAACCTGTGCATGAAAAAGCTCAACATCTGTGTCATATTTCATGGGCACATTTAGGACGAAGAAAGCCAAGATATGCAGTTCACATGAATCACATATTATTTTTAGTGCACGTTGCGTGAAAGAGACAAAATGACAGAGTTGTCAACTAACTCAACGTACCTGATTCTTTGGAGTTCAACCCCCTTGTTTACGCTTAGGTTGATGCCAGTTTCAAGACTTATCATCCACTAATTGCCCTTTAAATCATCACTAGCTCACATTAACGATTACGACGAGAACAAGAAACCGGTATCTTTCATATGAATAAATTGATAATTGACGTGTAATTTAAAAGAGACTGTTGCCATGCTTCCGTGTATTGAACTTTCCTGGAAAACAGCTCAGGTTCGTTCTCGACAAAAATTGTCTCCATCAACAGATACAGTATAAAGTTCAGTGTCGAGATAAGTTAGACATCCTTTCAAGAAGATAGCAATTGAAGAGGGTAGTATTATCCATCGGATCCATGCAGTGGGAGTAATGGTTTTCAGTTCGCAACCACCTCAAAGCAAGCCTAAATTACTATTTCAGTCGATTTATTTTACGATCATTTAGCATGGCTAAACTTGAGATGAGAGAGGGCAGTAATTGTTGATCGATTATTTTTGTTGTGTGGGCCGATGACGGTTAAACATCGAGAACATCGTGTGTCTCGTATACACCCTACCGACAAGCAAAGCCATTTAGATTTGAAATATGAATGAATGACGGTGAAGCATTAAAAATCCAAACGTAGTCTGTAGCCTACCTGACGGATGGCTGAAGACAATAGTCTAAATATAATGTACCTTACCACGAATATAAATAAACAATTGACATTTAAAAATCTAGATAACGTTCTACTCACAAAGGCGTTTTAATCATTAGGATACTGAATTACGTGAATGGTGATCGTTCAGTGAGCTATTTCAAAAACTCTGGTTGCGGATCATTAAGCTTAATGTGCTCTGCGTGCAAGGCAAATTTTGATACTGTAAAATGCTGAGTCAGATATTTTCTGTCACTACAGCGCGCTTTTATGTGCTTTGCGGTAATCGACATCCCCCACACATTTCTAGTTTAAAGTCAATGTAAGAGAGATCAATGAAACTGATCTCCTCTCTCTCTCTCTTTGATTTAGGACTCACAGTAGCGAACACGTTAGCTCTCATTATTATGATCATTTTGGAATTAATTGTTGTCAGCTTAAAATTTTTAAATCAAAATTACATTTGTCTAACACTACCAGTTAAAAAAGGGCCGTGCAACGTGGTCGCATGTGGTTTGTTATTCACTATTTCAAATAAGTAAATTAATTAATTAATTGATAAATTAAAGAAAAATTTTTGGTACAGCTGGAAGTGAATCAATCTTTTTTTTACCTAAAATATTTTGGAATCACCAAAACAAATATTGTTCTATGTATTTTGGACAGGAATGAAACGTTCATTCCAAGATTAATCAAAATATGCATTTTGACGTGGATGACATTAACTAATTTTAAAAATATTTAAGTTTTATTTTAATTTTTGTATAGGAAATTAATGTCAGAGCTAGAGGCATTCGAAAAAAGTGTGAAAGAATTAGCGGCTAGCAAAAGCGGGTCTAAAGCTCTAGACATGCGACTTTGCAAACTGTGCTACAAGACAAAGTTTGCCGATGGCATAGGCCGAATTTGCCAGCATTGCCAAAAGCGTGTATGCAGCAAATGTCGACAATACCTGAAACCGACCTGGAACACAAAAAAACATAAGGTATAATAAATTTTGGTACATACAGTTTTTGAAAAGTTCTTGCAATTACTGTCACTGATCAATAAGATAAATTGCATGCTGACATTTTTTTTTACTTAATACGACATCATTTGCGGATTTATGTATTTTGGAACGAAGAAGAAATGAGTATGTATGTCTGGATTGATATATGCCACAGATATCTTTCATGAGAACCGCTTTCATCCTTCAACATATATTGCCTTTCAACGTGATAAACTGAAATCGTAAACGTTTTTAATAACGCAGTGGTGATCAACGTTTCCAATTTCATATTGTCATCTGACAAGTTTAAGGATATTGACATTTGTGCTCTCTAGTTTACCAAAGGTCGCTGGGTTTGTAATCTATGCTCTATCAAATGGGAAGTGATGTGCAAGACGGGACTATGGTACCATGGACCAGAGACAATTGGTAATAAGCCGGCTGGTGCCTTCTTTGGGAAACTCCAGCGAGAATGGTGTTTATCTGTAACGGATGGGGTGAGTTTCCCTTTGGAAATGCTATTAGCCTGATAGATGAGGCAAATCTAATAATTTTGCCACAGATTTAAAAGCCTTATGTTATATGTTAGCCAACGTAATAAGACACCAGGCGTTTGTTCAAAGGTTACTATTACGGCTCACTCTTGCAATCATTTCATTCAGGATTCCCAAATGGATTCCGACTCCTCTGTGTGTCGTCGGGGCAGAAACAACGAGTCTGCAGTCACAGATTCCGAAATGCATACATGCAACCAAACGCCCAATGAACAACATCGTCGGCGCAGCACTCCCAACGACGGAGAGTCCCGTGACCGCCGCCGTCGACTGCAGCGTCAAAGTAACAGGACGGCAGTTGTAGCACCTACAGAATCCTATTCAGACTCAGACACCGGGCAAGATCGTGATCGACTACGTACGAGAAGACGCATGACGCTTGACTCGTATGGCAGGCTAAACAATGATGCACGTAGCAAAATCAGAACACATTTTGAACCCAGCGATAACTCCGATTCCGACACACTTGAACAAAACTGCAGATTTAGGAAAAAAGAAGGAAGTCATGCCAATGGAGAATTTACCATAAATGTGCTGGACAATGTGAGGAAGAAGTTAGAAGCTAATGTCAGACCTAGTTCAGATTCAGAAACTGGGCACACCCAAAGCCACGTCCTACCTAGGAAGCGGGTGTCGTCTATCGCAAACGGTGAATTGATTTTTAATGAATGGAACAAGGCAAGGCATAATTTACGCATAGGCGAGAAGCATAATACCGAGGCTGGTGTAAAGCACAGGCGTCGCTTACTTGGGGTGGCATCAGACGAAGATGAAGAATTTAGGGGTATCGAATCCAATCACAGAGATTCAGTGAGAAATGATGTTGGAGAAGTGCGTAACAATGGGGGCCAGAGGCAGGCGCTTCTTCTTCATCTCCAATCTCCCATCACCGCTGAAGTGGATGGCGACGTTTTCAGTAAAATGTCCAGCTTTCACGTTGATGTTAGAAACTCCATTAGACACTCGTCTGGACGACAGGAAAGCAGATCAACAGAGTCGACAACTCAAGCCTCTTTAAGCCACCCGAGGACAATGGCCAAAGTCGCTCCATTCAGTAGAGAGGTACCACATGGCGCCAAGGAAGGCGAAAGGGGGCGGCGCCAGCTCCCTACTCTGAACATTATTCCAAATATTGGTAAATGTGTTGTTGTTCTTCTAACGGCCAAACTATACAAACTTTTTTCTCATGTCCATTACCTTTTCAGTGTATCACATTAAAAATGGTTAGAATGCATTTTTTCATTTCATCTTAGTGCATATTTCTCACTTGCAAGTCGTACAAATATATTTCAATTGTTTTCGGCTTAACATATGGTTAAAAGGAATTTTTCTCTTTATTTTGCTAGATGTTTCTTTGATGGGAGAGGTTTTGCAAGTAACCTTGCAAAGATCCAGTGAAGAGGCCATTTGCAGCAGTAAGTATTAAAAATAAGTCGTATAATAAAGTTACATTTTCTGTTCCTCGTGCTGTTCCATACACATTTTTTATCAGTGAGACATTGGACACGAATTTGTGTACATTTCATTCATTATAGGGGAATTTCTGACGCTTAATTTGTAAAAAGAAAGGGGTGTTTTGCTTATTGCCTCCTTTAGAATACATTACAACTCTAAATTTAATTGAAAAGCGAAACTTTTTTAATTTAGAGCCTGTTTAATATGTATATATAAGTAGAAAAGTAAAAAAATGTCATAATAATGAGTACATCTGACAACAAATTAATTTTTGAATTGTTGTGGTGTTCTCTTATTTCAGACTTTGGTTTCGGCGTGCGAGTTGTCGGCGGCAAGATAAGTGAGAATGGAATACTTTACGCATATATTGCGAGAATCGTTGCCGGTAGTCCTGCTGACGTGGAGGGTAACGTTTCAGTAGGTAAGCCTTCTCCTCTCTCTCTCTCTCTCTCTCTCTCTCATTAAAATTGGACCACTGAACTGTACATGTAGCCATCAAATAAGTAAGAATTTTTAATCAAAATCTAAAATTTCTGTTGCACTCATATTCATCATATACTTTAAGGGGATGCAGTTCTGGAATGGAATAACCAGTCCCTTATTAATTTGACGTTTGAAGCTACTCAACAGATCATCCACTCCTCATACGTTCAGGAAAGTGTTCATCTCCTTATTAGCCGGGTTCAGAAGAGGTAAAAAGAAACAACCTGTGTATAAAAGTTGTCTTATCGTGCATTAAACCCTTAAAGTTTTAGAAAATGAATGCCAAACTTTATGTCAATGAACTTACTTCATGTTCACAAGCATGCATTCTTAGTGCTTTAAGCCATGTTACCGTATCAACATCAAGGGCCTCACTGTTTGTTTTATGTTCTATACACAAGCTGTTTGATTACATCGGTGGACTCATAACAGCAAGCACTGATACTGCAATACATTTCTGATTAATTTTCTTAAGTACTATAAACCTTCATGACACGATAACTTCATTATTTTAATACTGAATCACTCACCTGTTGTTTTAATAATCATTTTCAGAGCCTCGTTGTTACACTCGAGAAAAACACTACAGTTGAGTGATCATGGAAAAGGAGATCGTTTTTCAGGTGAAAAAAAACTAGACTAAGCAAACTGAGTGAATTTAATTATAGTTTATATTTGTCTGTCTGTATGAAGTCCCGCGTATAGAAAATGAAATGTGGGCTCAATACCTCGAGATATTAACTACAATGGTTCATCCAGGGGTGTCTCCAACTAAACGGGTATGTACCCTTCCCTCTCCCCTTCCCTCCCCCTAAAAATCGGTCTGAAAAAAGCGTAACCAGACCATGGTTTCCATCCCCGTGCTCTTAATACTCGCCCTCTGTTTTAAATCCCCGTAGCAAAATCTCTAATCCAGTACCATTGTACATTATAGATTCGATCAATATGCTTCTTTTCAGATATCAACGATTATGACAGTAATCGTCGACACACGGACCACTTTCAATTCGAAGTGAGGGCAACAGAATCTAGAAAACACCGACTTTTGCCGCCAACTCCAGTGAGTAAAATTATCTTAATATAGATATTATTTCGTGCGATATTCAAACCAGGTCTAGTCCAACAGAGCCGATAAATATTAAGGTCAGTCACTGTTGCTTTGGGTAATGTATATTCGATTTTGGCAAAACGTTAAATGCGTTGCCATGAGACATATCCCAAGCTACATGTGTGTAAGAGGAAAACTGAAAATTCGTCGTAACTTCACAAATAATTATACCACAGTATATCCTTTTCTGTCGTTTCCTAATTAAGCTTTCTGTTAATCATTTCCTTATCAGCATATTCACAACTTTTTATATCCATTACCTAAATATATGTATATCTAGTTGATTGCCTATTGTTATAGGCGAAAATCAGATTTCACACTTTTAATTGCATCTCAGAAGAATATGAAAACTAGCATTTTCTTGATCTTAAGTTTAGTTAAAACTAATTTCGTTTCCACCATTATAAGACTCTTTTGCAGAGCTGCCTTAGCACATATACACAATCCGTTTTATTTTTGTTCAGGACGAGGCAGTTTCCCTGTAAAGATACTGTAACTACCAGCTCATCTTTTGAATAACACTCTCCATACAGGCAATTTTACATAGAGTAAAAAAGTGTAATTCTTATCTAGGCAGTATGAGTTTTATTTATTTATTTTATTCTATTCTAGATTGAATCATTGAACACCAAGAGCATATACCATGCTAAAAAATCTTAACAAATTATCATTGTCAAGTTGACTTAAAAATAGAAAAGCCCAAATCAATGAAGTCATTTTACTTTTCTTTGTTAAATGAGTCGTTTGTAAAAAAGCTAAACCAAATGAATAATATGAAACTCTCATTTCATTACTTTTAAAACAAGTCAAGTAATGCGTTTGCAAAAATATTTTTCTTTCTATTTATGTATCCCGGCAGACATCAGAGAAAGAAGAGATTTTGTATACATGTGTACATGTGCACTTTACTTATTGCCAAAATTGCTTTTGATACTTGATAGCAGAAACGGATGAATTTTCGCTCTTTTTGATTCAAGAAGTAATTCCTAAGATTTTAAATAACAGAAAAAAAAACTTAATTGAATGTGCAAGTTTGCACGGATAGCAATCACTTTAAAAAATAAGTAGGACCTTTGAGTACATTCTATAATGATAGACAATAGGATGAATTGAAAAGTCCCATTGGACTTGTATTCTTTGAACTAAATGTCAACCCCTCATCAATACTGAGAAGTCAATTCATCCAATCAATCCAGGTTGACTCAGTGCGGCCATCAACATCGGCCACAGGAAGGTTGGAGGTTCAAGTACGATACGAGATGGCCTCGGTAAAAGTAACTGTAAGGCAGGCCAGTGGATTGAAGAGAGAAACTAATGAAAGTGGCCAACTTGATCTTCCCAATCCATACGTGAAAGTCAGCCTACTCCCTGGAAGATGGTAGGGTCTTTCACTTAGACCCCATTCCCACAGATTTTAGGTCGATCTATCCCTGTGGGGAGTCTCACTAGATTAATGTCAGCTTAGCCGGCTTAAATGTCTGTCCCGCCTACTAAAAGCTGTAAGGGGGTGATTTACTACCGTGCGCGCTCGGCTGACAGCAATTTAGCGTGAACCCCCAGGGAGTTAGGTCGATCTAGATGGATCGATCTAAATCTATGGGAATGCAGTCTTAAACATAAAATGTGCAATATTTACTTATATTTAACCGCAAAAATAGAAGATTGTTGCCATTGACACAAAAACTGGTATCGTAACATCCTTTAAATGATTTGGAAAATCTCATTTCTTATTATTATTTTGAGCTTGGTATGAATTTAAAAGCATTGCATTTTTATGTTTGTTTTTTATTCAATGTATCTTGTGTGGTGCAGGCAGTATCCCGTTCACAGAACTGAAACTCTCACTGTGAATGCAGCACCGGTGTGGAATAAGATGTTCGTCTATTATGATATTACTGAGGAAGAGGTAGGCGTTCTATTAATAAAGCTTTGGTTACCAGTAGGTCTAGATCTTTTCGCAGAATACTTTTTTTTCTCCGCAGTAGCGAGAAAATATTATCTATTTTTCGTTATTAACGTTTGCTCGTTTAAAAAGTCTTAAGAATTATAAGCATCCTTTGAACAAGGACCCATCAAATAGGGCCCAAGCTTTGAACGAGAAGCTATTCGCTGCATGATTTTATATAATGATCTGTGAAGCGTATTTTTCTTGTATGTGTCGTAATATGCGTGTTCTCCCTTTATGACAGTTGCATACCAAGTCCCTTGAATTTACTTTGTGGGACTATCACCCCAAAGAAAACAATACTTTTATGGGAGAAGTGGTGCTTGATTTGAATGCGGTAAATTTGGATGGCCTTGCTCAGTGGTACAACCTAACACCACACGATGAAAACAATGGACAGCTTATGCAGCCAACTCCCAAAAAGAGTGATCAGAAAGGGGTAAGCGAGTTTACAAAAGAGGCAGTGATAACCACAGTTTTATTTATGTATTTAACATTTTATGAGCACTAAACAGAGGATGTAAAAATATAACGGTGAAGCATCTGATCGCAGTTTCAAAAGCTTTATGTGAGTGACCCTTACTATATCTTTACGTGATTTATTGGTAAAATTTTTGAAGCTCTTTTATGATGTAAAATTGTATTGAAAGTCTTTCAGCTAGACTTGAACTGAAATGGGGCTTTCTCTGTTGTATTGTAATAAAGGAATCTGAACCAGCAGAAGACATTCAGACGCCTGTTCCTCCAATGCCAGCTCACGAGAGAGCCAAGTCTCTTCTGAAAACACACCACCGAGGATCGGGTACTTATTTCTTTAATTCGAACCTGTTTCACACGAAAAACCTGCTCTGACGCAAATTAAAGCCAAAACAACTTCCTTCTGCTAATACGTTCTAGGAAATGTTTATGATATGAAGTGCAAACAACATCTCATCAAATTTTTACCAGAAATGAAATTTAAAAAAAAATGTACGAGACGTTGAACAAGAGACGCAATTACCACATAAATGCAGTGATCAACAACAAACTGTCAAAACTAGAGGAAGTCAATTATGTCTGCGTAACGCTTATTGGTGTTTTTGTATCGTATTAGGGACTCTTAAGCGTTTTCTGCAGAGGCACCTCACGCGAAGCTCGTTAACATCTCCTACGTCCTCATTACGCAGCAGTGTTCAAGGTAATATTCATTAGCATTTTCCTTCGTGAGTCCTAGGCCAGGACTTGTCTTACTAGTAACTACGTATACATTTTTTAAGCATTTTTTGTTTTTCCACAAGACAAAAGAAAGTTTGTGCTGATGATAAATTGAAAGCCACAGCAGGGAATGAGCAGAGCAAACTTTGCATACAAATTTAATGCCTTGCCCATAAACCAATGCTATGGACAATTAACTTTTTATTTACTCGATTATGAATGACAACATCAAAGTGTGTAAGGTAAAGAAATGTCTTGAAATGCCATTGATAATAGGCCAAGGGCTTACAGATACTTTTAGAAACCAACCATAGGTTCACCCGCCATGGATTAATAACAGGTACATTATAAATTTTTGTTATCCTTTTTGTAGATTTTACAAATCGGCACTCCCCTTTACCCGAATCACATTGCCATTTTACAATGTCCGGTTGTGTATTATGTTGAAAATTTTGTGTTTTATTTTTGTTACAATATTCTAGGAAGGGACTTGCATTTGTCTGACAGCGAGCTATCCGATCATACCCAAACTACAAGTCAGGACTATACTGCGCTGCGAGGTATATTGAATGATGAATCCTGCCCTTGTTGTGTATGGTTTCCTTTATTTAAAGTTCATAAAGGCATAAACAGTCAGGTGTGGAACATATAAAAACGCGCGCGCGCACAAACAGAGCGAGAAAGAAAGGGGGGGGTTCAAAACCACTTTTCTGATGTTATAGTATTTTCTGAAAACTGTTCATGTCTTTATGCAGCTTATGCTTTCAAAATACCCTGTAACAGTAATATTGTTGTATCAAATGTCAAATATAGTGATTAAAATTAAGCATGCGTTCAGTTGTGTATGTTATCATTTTTTGCATGTGGGTAAATAAAAAATGTGATTTAACGCAAGTTAGATAAAAGATAAAACAAAATGTAATGTTTACCTGTTACTAGAACTGTTAATTTTTTGGCCACAATGACCACTTTTTGCACCAAAATGAGCACGGTGAATAATCTTTATTATGGAAGAATTCAATCCTGTAAAATGCACGTTTGTATTTCTTAGTCACGTTTGTATTTCCAACCACGCATGCTTGTAACGTAGACACTCCTTAATTGCTATTGCGATTTGCTTAAAGATCCAATTTATCTAGCTAGTAAAAACAATCTGCAATTTGATCATTTCCTTGCCTCTTCTATCCTGTGAAACGAAAAAGAATCAAATTTTTGAAATGTCAACCCACTTAGGTTGATGAGCGTAGGCCTATTGCGTGCATTAAGCTCCAGCTCCTCATGTGATAACACTGCGGCATTACGTAGATGCGCGTCAAACATAATGATTGCTTGGAATTGACGTCTACACGGTTTAGATATAGTAGACATTTCGAAAGTATTAATTGGAGATCACACATCACATTTTCGTTAAATAAAAGAAGACACAGACTACTTGGTATTGCCTAAACCTTGCTAAGAAACTGGGAAAATAAGTGATGGGGCACCATCTTTTATTGAAAACATTTTGGAAGAAAAGGGCAGCTGATTAAACATATAATACAAATTAAGACGCACAAAATATTTAAAGGTCCGGAACCTGCTTGTTGAATAGTGCCTGCCTGAAAGGAAAATTATTTTCTTCTCTAAAACAAGAGAGAAAAAAAGAAAACAAAATTTATAAAGTTTTGTGTGATATTTGATTTTTATATTGAAACTGTGTTGTGGTACTAGCTGGTTTTATTTTGCTTACTGCTGGATAAAAAAAAATGGCCTGATAGGCCTTACTAAAACACTAAGTAACAGTTGCACCCCGTCGCACTTACTGCCGTGCTACCACACCACGCTCTTCATTTCTTAATGGAATTTACACAGTATGTTGTTCTACAGGCAAAATTGTCGTTGAAAATGACAATGCATTGAGAAGGACCACGTCGGCTAAAAGTTACAAATCAAAAATGAAACGGCGCCTGAAACGATACATGAGCATCGGTAGGTACATGTACGCATGTATTTATTCTAAGAATCGTGTATAAGCCTGCCTAAAAATGAAGCCTCTGAGTTTAAAAGATATAGGCCAATTCCCTGAAATTAATAATTAGGCCTATGTAGTCCTCACTACGCATATATAAACTCTACGAGTAGCATAAAACAAGACCAAAATTCCTGGGACACACACCCCATGAAATGGGCGATAGACACATGGAACAGTAGGCCTACTCATATTGACGAGGCACATGGCATGGACACGAAGATTTAAAATACGTACAAAGAGATAAGTACAAAGTTTAGAAAAGTATCAATTAGTCTTGTTCTGGCCTTGATTTCTTATGTGATTGCTTTTTCTTATTTCCTTTACTACTTTGATGATTGTTCTGGCGTGTGCTTTTCACTTTCTATTCACACCTTTTTTTTTCTGTTGTGATTAAATGTTAACGTTTTGATGATCTGCTTACATATGGACATGGATATCATCTTTAAATAACAGTGAACAAAGACTTGTTGTGTGTCTATTCGCAGTCAAAAATAGGTTAATGGGTCGTAATTGCCAACGATTTTGTATCATGGCATACCTTGGTGATTCAGGGGAAAGAGCTGAAATTTCCAGGAAAAGCACATTTTGTTATATAGGGGTCCAGCGCTCATTGTGTGCCTTTAAAACGAACCGTAAAGTAAACATTATATATATTTTAGACAACTCTGATATTTCCCAACTTCCATGCAACTCTGAGAGTATAAGCAGTACCCCAGTGTGCAATACAGTGCCAAGTAAGTACCTATACGTGTTAAAAGAAATAAAGTGTTTTCACCACAGGCCATTTAATACGAGCGCAGACGATGGAAAAATACCAATTTAATGGTTAAACTGTTAAAACCAAAGTGTAAAGTTGGGATATAAAATTAATGAATGTCAAATTATGTTTAATCCGCTTTCGTCGCCTTTGAAATGGCAGGCACGTGTATGTTAACGTGTATGTTAAAGGTGTAAAGTTCAACATTGACACCTTTAAATGCCTTCCTCTCAATAAAACAAAAACGTTTCGATCGTAGTTAAATAATGTCAATTTTTTTCCAAGATACCCCAGATTGCAACAACATAACAGAAAGTCGAAAAAACAGTGAGAAAAGCGATCTGTCTGAGAGTGATGTGGATAACTACTTTAGGTAAAGTATTTCAAATTTAATAAAACATCTGTAAGAGGAAGATCATAAATCCTCTAAAGAAGAAGGTTAGTGTACAAACTAGAGAAGGCTTTCACTACTAAGGGAGAATGCATTAAATAAAATAACAAGACATCTGAGGTTCTTTCAAACTTGTGAAAAGCCTTATCTCTCATGATATAATTTAATACTTCTTAAAAAGAAACGTTCTACGATACTAGCCATGCATCTAATGGCACTGGGGCTTGATAAACCTTTTCAACCCTGTCTTATATTTATATTTTAGTGATTTCAAGGAGCGTCACGCACCCAAGTCACAAGTCACTGTTGACCCTGGACTAGGGCCCGGGCAAGTGCAGCTCCCAGCAGGTGAATTGCTTGATAAATTCTGTATCAGACGATTTTGATTTTATTTGCATTTCATTGTATATTAAAACGGTTTTTATGGAGGCGTTAAGTCTGTGGTAGCTTTAAAAGATTTTCTGTGTAGTTGGTGCATCTACCGATATCGGAGTGAAACGTAAACGTATGCGTTGCTTGTCTTGTATTGAACACGTCTTTTTGAGAATTAGTTTTATGGAAAGCTAGTCGTTTTCGACAGCTTTCTAAAATGTATTCATTTTCTCAAAGCGTAGTCCGCTTCAACCCCGACTTTTGTATTGGGATAAGACGTCTAAATGTGTAACACATTTAATAACTTATCATTTCATATCATCGCTTCCACACGGTACCCTTGCCGATATTTTAATGCATTTTATTGCGTTCCATGCTCTTCTTCTCTATTGTAAGGATACACTACTGCAATTTTATCCAATTTTTAGAAGCGCCAACTGTGCTGTAAGTCAATTTGCAAGCAGACACTCTAGTGCATCGCATACTTTTCTCTACCAGACGCCTCTCTAACTTTTACGAAATTGAACGACGCACGACGTACAGTTTTGCAAAGGCTAGACGGATATTTTGTAGAGAGTAATTCCATGAAGTGGGCGATCCGTTTTGTAACTAATACATATACAACAACCTCTTTTTCAGACAGGCTAGGTCAAGGTGCTGTGAAATTACGGTTTACAGTTACTAAAGGAAACTTGGAGGTGGATATATTCTGTGCGAAAGGGTTACCAGTAAATAACAACGAAATTCCTGGTAAGCGTGTCAGATGGCTCAATTGTGACGTGCTACACGTAGCTTCCTTTCTATGACTTCCTATCTAGAATTTCAACCAATTCCAGTTATACGGTATTACCTTACTAATAAAACATGTGCAAATAACGAAAGAAAAAATAATCTAGAAACTTGTCTCCTGAACTGGCCCTACTCACATAATATTAGATTGATTGTACTTGAATTTCAGACACATACGTGAAGACCTATTTGCGACAGGGACAGAAACGGTTTCAGAAACGAAAAACGCGGATTGTAAGGAAGTCCTTAGATCCAGTTTACAAGGAGAAGATCAATTACTTAGCACGGGATGTCCATGGGAGACATTTACAGGTACAAAAACAGCAGGTGCATGTTCTATAACAAATTAATACGAACTTGTACGTACATGTGTAGTGCTCGGCACCTTTATGAAACCTTCCTGTTCCGTGCCACCTTCCAATTAAGCACAAGCGTTTCAGAATGGAAGTGGTTTCTTTGAAATTATTGCCGTCAAGTTCTTTTGCAATTTTTCAGACTATAAGATTAAAATCATG